GACTTCAACTCCCAGAATTCCCCAGCCAGCCAGGGGAATTCTGGGAGTTGAAGTCCACACATCTTAAAGTTCCCAAGGTTGAGAAACACTGCCTTACACAAATGGAATCCCATGTCAGTTAGCAAACCATCTGGCAGAGGTGTTTGATCCCTATCCCGTTCCAGCACAGAATAGAAACAATTTGGAAAGATTTCGTAGAAATACAGAAAAAGGCAGGGCACTCTCATTCCCTCTCCTGCCCCTTACTAGGAGACCAGTCGTGATTTTGGGCTTACTTTACAAGATTCAAAATATTTCATGAACTAAAATTCTGCTCTCTTTTTTAAAGGATGTGAATGGTTCTTTTCAGCCCCGCGAGTGGGTGTTTTTCACCTGGGGGAAAAATAACAGGAAGAAGGATTTTTTGTAGGGTCTTGAATGCAGCGGCAGGTACCCAAATCCCAAGCAGCTCAGAGGTCTTCTTCTGCCAGATGGTTCCATGTAATGACTATCATGAATCCAGGAAGGAATGATGTAAGAACCACAAGCATAAAATGAAAAAGAAACTTCAGAACGAAGTAAGCTAGAACCCATCCTAACTTAATTCAGTTTTGCGCCAACCACAGTTGCCATATGGATAAACAGAACAACACTATGAATCATTCACAAGTCCTTGTGGGTAATTATGTCCTCTGAACACAGGTCTTTTTTTTATAGTGATGGCAATTGTCTCTTGCAATGATGTAGTCCCACTTCTGGCGCCCAACTTGTTTTACACCAGTGATATCAAAGCTCAAGAGAAACATCTAAAAGAAAACAGAATACATCCAGAGGAAGTCTGGCTTCAAAGAGTTGTGTCTCCATATCTTGTGAATGTATTCATAGAGGAAGTTGAGGTCAACCCTATCAAAATACAGCGTTTACACCACTTTTATTCTTGTTTCCATCAGCTCTCACTTGATGGTGGGTTTTGAGGTTCCAAATATTGTAGATTCCTTCTTTCCCTTCCACGTAAGAAAAGTTTCTGATGAAAGTGGATAGGATTGTGGAGCAATTATTTGGTTTGATTGGTACAAAAAGGTTTTCAGTTTCTGGTTTTTCTTAGACAAAGCTGTAGCCTAGCTAGATGACCCATTTAGCTGAATTTTGCCAGCCAAACACTACCCAAATTGTGTACTAATACTTTATCATTGTGGGGTGAAAAAAAGCAGCATCCTGTTTTCACAAACAACTGGACCTAGGTTCCTATTTTTGCTTCAAATGTTCTTCTCTCCAAAGGAGCAAGCAAACATATGTAACTTGTAACCCACATCATGTTTGGTTTCTCCCTAAAAGAAACTCATTTTTTGATCTCCAGTTTTGAAACTGGAGTTTAATTACTTCCCAGTTGACAGTCCAGATGAGAAGTCACTGCCGCCGTCTTTTAAGGAAGGTGCCAAAATTCTCCAGTCTCCTTCCCACTGCAGCCCACTTGCTTTGCAAGGATGATTTTGTAATTAGAATTATTGTTCCTTAATATTGTTAGATCCAAGAACCCAAAACCATGAGTGCTAACACTAACCTTATTGTAAGGTCACAGTACAGAATCTTGCAAGTCTGAAAGTACATCTCTCCCCACCTTGCTTTTACTGTCCAAGAAACTAGGGAGAGTCCTAGTTTGCCACACCCCATCCCTTCTGCGGGCTAAGTTGCCTCTTATCTGACCATTGCCTAGACTGCTGCTTCCTCCTCCTGTCTCTTGAGGACGTTCTCACAGACCATTACAGATCCCACGTAGAATACTGTATTAAACTGTGTTTTTTTACAGCAGCTGTTTTGGATCCTTCAGGTCAAAGGCAGGATTACGTAGCGTAGGCATGGCACGAATATCAGAGGAAAGTCGTCCTATTGTTTCTAGCTCTCTCCTATCATCTCCTTAGGTCCCCAGTCATTTGAACTCATAAAGATATTTGGAATGTTGTTCGGACAAAATGGCTCCAGAGGGTGGCAGTGCCCGTTCACAAAATGGCCACCGTCATGACAAGCGGCTGAGGGTCTGTTCATTGCTTTTCCCCCTGGCTTTTTCTCAATCTGGAGCAAACACACCTCCAAACAAAGCCCTAGAATGAGGCCACTGCCTATTTTTTAGGAAGAAAGGAGCCGGAAGCATTTTTGAGCACATTGTCGTGAGCCACCCAGAATCGTTGGGACTTGGGCGGCATACAAGTTTAATAAATTATGATGATGGTCATTAAAGGGGATGCCATTTAGCTTTGCAGCACACCAGCTCCCCAATGCTTGCATTTATTTATTTATAGAACAGCAGGGATCAGGTGGGGTAGGAAGCGTGACCGACTCCGAGGAAGGATGATGGGCTGATTGGAGGCTAGGCCTACCTCCCTTTTTAATGAAAATTTAAAAGAAAATTGCATTTTGCCACTTCACATGAACTATTTAGGTGAAACACAAACCACTATATTTGGACATGCTCAGATGTCCTAACTGGAGGCAGACGGGCACCCTGAATTTGTGTCAGCACCATTGCAAACTTACCATCTGGTGGGGGATTCTGGGAAATACGGTCCCAGGAGAAGGTGCCAGCTTGTGGAACACTTATGGCAGTTTTCTCCTTTCCCCCCCCCTTTCTCTGTTAAAAGCAAAATATTGTGGCGACCGGAGGGTGGCCACAAATCTGCCTGGGAATTATTCAGGTCTGAGCCATCTGGGAATAAAACAGAACAGGAAGCTACGTAACCGGACGATAGCGACAAGGGCCTTGTGTGGCAGAATAAGAAAGGATGCTGTTGATTGCTTCGCCCCCCCAGTTAAGATCCGTATTGCCCAAGACCGATGCCAATCTGTTGACAAGAGAGGTAGAAACTTTCAGAAGACTCCCTTTTCCTCCTCAAAAGAGGCAACGTCGACAATCTCAGGGCTTTTGATGGTGCCCAAAGTCAGCTGCCTTATGTGGGTTCCTTCGTCCTACCTAACGGTAGGGCTGGCCCATACAAAACTGGGTCATTCTTTCATAAAGAGCTGTTGAGAAGAAGTGGTGGGTCTCCTTTCTGGTGAAATAGGAGGCGGCTGAGGAATACTTCACCCAATTTGCTGGTTTACATCAGTGTTTCTCAGCCTTAGTAACTTTAAGATGTGTGGACTTCAACTCCCAGAATTCCCCAGCCAGCCATGCTGGCT